CCTTGTTGTATTTTTCTCCCAAATTGATTAGGAGACTCGCAATAAAGCGTGCGCGTCCAGGCGTTTGATTCGCATTCATGAACCTGTGGACACTGATTTTCATTTCCCTGAGAAAATTCAGGGGAATCCAATCACACGTTTACTGACAGCTTTTTCAGGTCAAGTGTCCTTCAGCACTAAAGTAAAAGCTCTCAAACTCAACATGAAGCACACGGGCTGCAGGAGCCGAAGTGATGCAGCCACAGGCGCCTGGAGGACTGAAGGAGAGCTGTGGCCCCTGGCAGGCAGAGGAGGAGGCTGTGTAGGGAGGGACAAAGTGACTGAGTGAGAAAGTGAGCAGGAGGAGAGGGGAGGTGCGGCGGTAAGCATGGAGTAGCTCAGCCTGTAGGGAGGGAGCATGGAGGGGACATGTAGCCACCACTTTTAGAAAGCATTTGTTAAAAATGTTCTGAAAAAAAGCTTTCACCAAGAAATGTTAATTAACAAATAAAAATGCTGTGAAAGGTTTATTTGCACAATAAGCCTGCAACACAATGTAAATATAAAAGAAAACCGTGTCCAAAAAAGTAACTTAACCCCTGTGTTGTCTTCGGGTCAAATTTGACCCGTTTTCAAATTCTTTTGTATGAAAAATATGGTTTTCTTTCATGAAATTACACCAAAATAACATGGATGGTTCCACACTACGCTCTAAACAAACAAAATTATCACTACTTTCATAGAATTGTGGGTATTTTATTCAAATGTGTTCCAACTTTGTTCAAAAAGTCACTTAATCACACTATTGTGCTTTCCAGCAGATGCGCACACATGTGAGCACACACACCACCCTGAAGCTTTTTATCCCTTTTAGAGACAACAGGATAAAGAAGCCTCCCTGTCGTGCTCTACCATACTGTACTGTGTCAGAGGAGGAGAAAGACCAGGAGGAATCTGCAGAAGAAAAGGATTTATGAAGAGAAGAGCACAACTGTAAAGAAGCTGAGGAATATGCTTCAACAGATAAGATGTTTTCTGCCTGAGCAAATTGAAAAGATTGTGCTGGACATGACAAACAACAGGGGAATTATGTGCACAGCAAAGATCGATCAAAATACCTCAGCAGGCGTACTTGGGTCTGTTGATGCTCGCTGGTTCTAATCCAGTAAAGAAGCCACGGCCAGTTTATGGCATGCCCAGAGTGTAAAACTAGTGGTAATGAGTTGGAATGAAGTTGGCTAAGAAGGTGTAACACAGAATTGGGTGATAAGTTAAACTGGATGCTTTAAAAGCAGGAAGGGAAAACACCACAAGCTAAAAACAATAATAAGCTTACTGCATCATAGTCTATTATATTTTTAGATTCTGAATTGCCACCTGGACTTTGTGCTTCCCTGGTGCAGAAAATGTCTCCAGAATGCAGGAAATTAAGTGTTTAATGCTCCAAATCTTCTAGGGGAGGACCCCAGACCTCCATGTCAACTATTTCATCCATAAAATAACACATCCTAGATCTGAATGAATGAAATAATCTCATTAAATACTCCTTTCTTTACATAGTCGAATGTGCTGACAACAAAATCACACAGAAATGATCAATGGAAATCAAATTTATCAACCCATGGAGGTCTGGATTTGGAGTCACACTCAAAATCAAAGTGGAGAACCAAACTACAGGCCTTAAAACAAGTCAAAATGAGGCTCAGTAGTGTGTGTGGCCTCCACGTGCCTGTATGACCTCCCTACAACGCCTGGGCTGCTGATGAGGTGGAGGATGGTCTCCTGAGGGATCTCCTCCCAGACCTGGACTAAAGCATCCAACGTGGCGTTGGTGGATGGAGCGAGACATGATGTCCCAGATGTGCTCAGTTGGATTCAGGTCTGGGGAACGGGCGGGCCGGTCCATAGCATCAATGCTGACACACTCCAGCCACATGAGGTCTAGCATTGTCTCGCATTAGGAGGAACCCGGGGCCAATCTCACCAGCATACGGTCTCACAAGGGGTCTGAGGATCTCATCTCGGTACCTAATGGCAGTCAGGCTACCTCTGGCGAGCACATGGAGGGCTGTGCGCCCCCCAAAGAAATGCCACCCACACCATTACTGACCCACCGCCAAAGCGGTCATGCTGGAGGATGTTGCAGGCAGCAGAACGTTCTCCACGGCGTCTCCAGACTCTGTCACGTCTGTCACATGTGCTCAGTGTGAACCTGCTTTCATCTGTGAAGAGCACAGGGCGCCAGTGGCGAATTTGCCAATCTTGGTGTTCTCTGGCAAACGTCCTGCACGGTGTTGGGCTGTAAGCACAACCCCCACCTGTGGACGTCGGGCCCTCATACCGCCCTCATGGAGTCTGTTTCTGACCGTTTGAGCAGACACATGCACATTTGTGGCCTGCTGGAGGTCATTTTGCAGGGCTCTGGCAGTGCTCCTCCTGCTCCTCCTCGCACAAAGGCGGAGGTAGCGGTCCTGCTGCTGGGTTGTCGCCCTCCTACGGCCTCCTCCACGTCTCCTGATGTACCGGCCTGTCTCCTGGTGGCGCCTCCGTGCTCTGGACGCTACGCTGACACAGCAAACCTTCTTGCCACAGCTCGCATTGATGTGCCATCCTGGATGAGCTGCACTACCTGAGCCACTTGTGTGGGTTGTAGACTCCGTCTCATGCTACCACTAGAGTGAAAGCACCGCCAAAACATCAGCCAGGAAGCACAGGAACTGAGAAGTGGTCTGAGGTCACCACCTGCAGAACCACTCCTTTATTGGGGGGGGTCTTGCTAATTACCTATAATTTCCACCTGTTGTCTTTTCCGTTTGCACAACATGTGAAACTGATTGTCAATCAGTGTTGAATCCTAAGTGGACAGTTTGATTTCACAGGAGTGTGACTGACTTGGAGTTACACTGTGTTGTTTAAGTGTTCCCTTTATTTTTAGCAGTGTAGTAGGCCTATTAAAATATATTCTGGTCTTGTTGTCATGGCCCGATTTTAGGGGGCCACCTGGGCCAAAAATGCCCGGGCTGATTTTTCGTCCCAGTCCAGCCCTGCTGGTTGGTCAGTTCTGGCCCGCGGGCCGCCTATTGCCGACCACTGCTGTATATGAAAGGATCCCTGTGACTCAAACATCGACTTCACCTGTAATAATAAGGTACAAGGTTGATTTATTTGTCACAATTCAACAGGTTGTAAAGTGAAGTTGAGTTTGTACGTAGCAGACAATAAACAGTAACAGAATCAATTATAAAACTGGTAAATAGAATAAACTATCATCAGTGGAGCAGTGCTGAGGATGAATTAGAGTTTAAGAGTCTGAGAGCTTGGGGGGAAAAGCTGCACTGCAGTCTGGTGGTGCGGCAGCAGAAACTTCTATCTCTCTTCCCAGAATGCAGCAGGGTGAACAGGCTGTGGCTGGGTGGGTTCTGTCCTTTAGGATCCTTTAGACTCTGAAGGCACCTCGACTCACCGATATCACTGATGCTCGGGAGATGAGTACCAAATGAGCAGTTTGAATCACCCGCTGCAGAACTGTAGTACATCTCTGGACAAATGAGGCACATTTTGTTGTTTTTCAGGCCCTCTTCGGTACCTGTACCTCACCTGTGTCACTTCACTGGTCATTAAGCTGGACAGACTTCAATCAATTCAAAGTCTCTGCTGTCGCGCCCCCAGACTGCTGAGCTGCTTCTTCCCCGAGCTTTCATTTTAAATATTTTATATATACACTGCAGAAGGGAATAAATGGCATTTGATTTTACAACCCTGTTGTAATATGATGATAAAATTTACCTTGTTGATATGTGTGTATATATACTGTTTGTTGTATATTTTCATTTGCTGCAATGTTTGTTTTCTTGGTTTGGACAATTTAAAATTACCTGCAAAGTGTAAATAACAGTTTATACCTGTAAAATATAGAACTTTGTAGTTTCACACACACACACGCACCTTTGCTTGTAAGACTAAATTGCCTGAGTTGAATTTCAGTCTGAACAATATTTAGACTGTATTGACAAGTTTCTCCAACAGAGGCAGCTTCAAATTAAACTCATGTTGTTTTTTTGACCACCGTTGTTCCCATTTTGAAACTTGTGTCTTTAAAGCAGTATGGTGCAAATAGAGAAGTTCACAGCCTACAGGGCAAAAAAACAAGGTTGTGATTTATGTTTTCCCTCGTTTCCACCACCCCTGTAAGCACAACATTTGTGTGTAAGTTTCAGTGGCATCTAGCGGTGAGGGTTGCGAATTGCAAAAAATGTCTGATCATTCACTTGCTCCTCAGATGAAATAAGTACTTTATAATAAATGTATTCATTTTAAAGGTAGTTGTAAATTCAGCAGTTAAAACTTTGTACTTTTTCTCCACGAGGTTGTACATTATATCAATTTAATTTATAAATCCAACAACAAAAAGGCTGAAAACTGTCAATATATAGTCGTCTTTTAATATCTTTGTATAATATAGACTCCCCCTGGAAACCTGTTTATTATTTGATATATATATATATGCGTACTGTTCGGTTTACTTCTTTACTTTAAAAAAAAATAAAGAAGAGTTTGATTATTCTGACACCACTTGAATGCACCGGTGGCAGACTTTTGTTCCAGATTTCACTTTTCTTCTTACTTCTAATAAACCAGACGACTTATACTTGTTAGGTATTCAACGTAGTGATGAAACGCGCTCTGTAGCGCAGTTTTTCCGTTTGGGCTACTGTAGAAACACGGCGCCGCAACATGCAAGAGGACCCGCGCTGTACGTAGATAGAAATGTCTCATTCTAAAGGAATAAAAACATAACGGTTCATTATGTAAGGTCTTTATACACCACATAGTTATGGATCTTATATTGCACTTCTGTTAATAGATCCTTCTAAATATTACACACTGGACCTTTAATCTGGATGTATTCAGGTGATTCAACAGGTAAACTCGGAGGACGGGTTGAGCAGATCAGGAAACAGGACAGACTCTTACTAACGACTAATATTTGATCTCTGCAACAGAAGTAAAGACAAAAGTTCTTCCCAGCTTCAGGAGTTGATTTATGGAGTTCTGTGGATTGACAGTACCAAAAAACAAACAAACTCAACCATTATTGTTCTTTTACTTTGCTTTTATACATTTTTAATGAAATCAATTCTCATTTTTAATGAAATCAATTCTCATCACCACAGTAGTGCAACATGAACCGTGAACACGTCTGCGAGTCTCAATCAATCAAACCGACGTCCGAGCGCTCTGAACAAGAGTCCCAGCCTCTTTTATTCACATCACAACGACATGCTGTGCTCCGTGGCGACGATCCCCTGCACAGCTGCGTCTTTTACCTGTTTCTGTTCAGCTCAAATCACACCTGAGATGGTTTGTGTCAACGAGCTGCTTCAAAACTCTGAAAAAGCAAAGCGAGGATTTGGATCCGTGAGAGTTCAACGTCGACAGGACAAAGTTTCATCGCGTCTGAAGGATCCGAACAGACGACGAGCAGCTCCTCCACAAACCAGACGAGACGTTCAAAGGCTCAGAGTCCGTCAGGAAAAATGTTTGTCGTCCTTAAAAAAAAAAAAAAAAAAATAAACACTTTCAGAGAAGAGTTTTCTGCAACACAAATCGCCGACGTCTCAGTCGACCGATCTTTCGGATCGCCCCCCCGTCACATCTCGTGTCTCATGGTCCTTTAAAGATCCTTTGTGGATTTTGACTTTCAGATGCACTTCCTGTGACGTGTCGTCACGTTAAGTCTGAGCGGAGAGTTCCTGATCCTCTGTCCCATCACAAAGTGTCCCATTGGAAATAATCAGTGTTTAATGTGAAGATCTGCTGCTTTCATTATGTTCGTTTTTATTAAAATGTTGTTTTATGTTCACCGAGGATGGCGTCCGTGAGAAATCATCATCATCATTCAGTGTGTCTGCTGTGAACTTATTAGTCTTAGTATCCTTCATCATCCGTACAGAAGAGTCACACAACAAGACATCCAGGACAGAAATCAGAGCGTGTTCAGTGGGAACGAGAGCGCCGGGACTTCTCAGAGTAATTTGATTAATTGAAAAACCTGCGAGAACTGAAACCCACTCGTCTTTGGACTCGTTTTACTTTGTCAGGCTTTAATGCAGAAAGAAGAACTTTAAACGGGCCACGAGACTCTTAAGGCAACAGTGGGCCCCTTAAATGCATTGGGCCTGTTTTAAATATCCGTGAAGTTACAGATGGCAAAACAAAGATTAAGAGACGTTTTATCACTCTGATGAAACAATACAGTCTGCTGGCACTCACACAGAGGCTTTTTCTGGCTGCCTTGTTATTCGTTTGGGACTGGACTCGTTCCGTGGTGAAGCCTTGGTGTTCGGTAAGACAACCTGCGTGTTTAGATTTGGGTTTTTGCATGCTGATGATCTGGACCCGTGCGAGCGTTTGGCAGCCGTCTGCCTCACTTTGCCAAAAATGCCTAATTAATAAACGTTTAAACAGACACTGTCGGCTGCTGGCCGCTTCATCTTCACCAGTCTGCCTTTAAAAACAAAACTTAAGTGTTTTAACGGCTGCAGCAGTAGTATTGGCTGTGTTATGGGGAGGGGGATAAAACACGGCTAGCGGCCTGGATCTGAGGCCAGTGCAGGAATCTAACCCCCCCCCGGGCCAAAACTTAGACTTTGATAGCGGCTGGCGCTGAAATAGATCTCCGTCAGGACGCCAACAGTTTAATCGCTTCCTCTTTAGTGACTGTGCCGACAGAACGAAGGTTTTGTAGGCACAATCCTCTGAAATGGTCATCAGGAAACGTGACGGGCTGGGGAAATTAAAACAAATCTCTTGGGACGCACATGCTTTATTGTGAGCATGTGAAACAGGCACTACTGACTGAGCTAACCAGACACACTAACTACTTTTAAATTATCATTTGACTAAGTTCTGGCCCGCCGTGTAATGGCTTAAAAAAAACGATCCGACCCCTGTATCGGTTTAGATAGCTAGATTAATTCAGATTTTATGAGTGTGTCTGTGTGGCCTGTGAACCTCTATGATACAGCGACTTCTAATAATACTCGTGCATATTAGCCCTCATGCTAACAGTAGTAGCCTACCCGTAAAGCTTCATGTTCTCCTCAATGAATTGCTCCTTGTCCCACGTGTTGAACTGACGACCTGGACCTGTCTGTTATTAATTGTTGTATTGTATTGTAAAAGTTAAGGAGATTGTTTTTTTTTATGTTTAAACCCTGCGTGTGTTTTAAGGGTTTTTCCTTTAGTAAAATACTTTCAGAGGACATTTAGATGATTTCAGCAGCTGCTGGTGTTTTATCGGACCTTTAGTCTGTCAGTGTGCGACGGTGATGAGCTGCACTTTATAACTTCTCGGTATTTGGAAACACTTTCAGACTCGTCTCATGTTGACAAACGTGTAGAAACTCCTGCAGGTTAAACTGAACTAACTCAACACTTTCAGGTCTGATTCACTCCAACAGCCTCGCTAAAAACAGAGCTGAACAAACATGGTAGCCTAGCAACGTCAAGGCTAAAAACAGCCCAGAATGCAACACTGTATGTGTGTATGTGTAAAATGTACTGGTTTATATTTGGGCGAATGAGGTGATTAGAAAACATCCAGCTGATCTCTGAACCGCAGCTCCTGTGTGATGTGATGTTGACGCTCAGTGGGGCGGCTGAGGCGTGTTGCACGTTATCTCCACGACGCTGAAGCGTCAGTAAAGATGAAGCCGCTTCGGTCCGTCTCATCCTGTGAGACTTGTGAAACTGTCCCCGGGTCAGTTTCAGGACACCTCGATGATCTCCATGCTGCCGGAGAAGCTCGACTGACTCCCCACCTTCCCCATCTCCTCTCTGGATCTGCTGTCTGTCATCCCGTCTCCAAACTCCATCTGACAGCTGCGTCTCTTCAGCTGCTTCTCGAAGCTGCTCTCTTCGTGCCAGCTCCTCCTCGAGTCCCCGCGGTCGCTCGTCCTCTGCCGGCTTCGCCGCCGCACCGCCTCCAGGCCTTGGCTGCAGCTGTAGGCCGCGAAGCTGCCGCCGGCGCCGCTCAAGATGGCAGAGGTTGAGTAGAAGCGAGTGGAGTCAGGGGAGAGGTACCAGCCAGCGGCCAGGGAGGAGGTGGAGACGGTGACGGGGCCCAGCAGGATGTCTGAGTGCCAGCCTTTCAGGGCCCCGCCGGATCCCGGTTTGGCCAGATGCTGCTGGCTGCGGGAGAGGCCAAACAGGAAGCTGGTGGCGTTCTCCTCCATGCTGCCGCTCCGGTGCAGCTGGTGCGAACAGTTCGGAGCGGCGGGCGGAGGTTTGGCGAAGCCGCTGGAGGCTGGCGGCGAGACTCGCTTCGGCCCGTCGGCCTCCTCCTTGTCGGGGCTCTGCTCCGGAGTGGACTGCTCTGAAACCTCCTCCACCGGGGAGAACTGGCACGGTTTACTGGTCGGCTCTTTGAAGGCAGACGGTTTGTAGAACTCGGCGGCGTCTCCTGATCCGCCGTGAGGGACGAACACTCGGTGAGAAGCGCTCCCGCCCGGCTCGCCGTACGACTTGATGTCCAGAGAGAAGGAGCGCTTCAGCCGGGCGTTGTCTTCAGGCCCGTCGGCGAGCTGCAGGCCGCTCAGAGCCTGAGCAAGCAGACGCTCCTCTGGGGCGTTGGCTAAAACACAGGGCAGGGTGAGGGGCTCCAGCAGGGCCAGGCCGGGACCCACGGGGGCCTCCTGACACGCCAGAGGCTCCGGGTCCTCGGGCTGAGCGGGGAAATCACTGCAGGACTCCGGATGATGGAGGGACTTCAGTTTAGTTTCAGCACCGTGAGGACTTTTGATCTTCTTCTCAAAGTCCAGCAGCTGCCCCAGGAAGTTGAAGTTGGGAGAGATGGTCGGCCTCTTCTCCTTCACAAACCTGCAACAACACAAAGAATGTGGACGTCCGTCATTAGTGTGACTCAGGACCAGTGTGACTAATAAACGGCGACACAGAGGACGGACTAATTAGAGGGTCAAAGAGGCTCTGGACTCATTAGGACGGACTCTCTGCATTGTTTGGACCTGTGTGGAGAGGAATGTGCACCGTGAGCATCTAACAGGAATCTGAACTCTGATCTTCAAACTATTTATCGTTTAAGGTTGCAGATCTCTTGCCAAAAACCCCCCCAAAAAAGATGCATTTCTCTCACTGTGTGACTACTTCTTACTTTTAAAGTATTCATAATGATCGAACCAGGTAGGTAGTAATGACATGCGGCTAACGTTACTTCGGATGCATAGCATTCTTACATTAATACAGAATTATTACCGAGTTCTGTTGCTGCCATTTTCATTTACTGACACTGTAGTTTTTAAGTATAGAGTGAGATACGGCTGAAACTTTATAACGCTCCTGCCACACAGTGTTCACTCCGCCTCAATAGATCTTTTTGTCTCGTCTACTGTAGTTAGAGCTGAGCAATAAAAATAATGATTAGTATCGCAATATCAATTTCCTAAAGTCAATAAATATTTGGTTTAATTCATTTGAATCACTAACAAATTGACAGTTATTTTTTCTATTAAAATATTTATTTTGTTGATGAAAAGGGACAAAACTTTTTTGAAAATAAAATTTAAAAAAATCTTAATTGTTTTGAATGTTCTACCTCTGATTTGTTAATTGATCCAATGTTTGATCCAATTGATCGCACAGCCCTAACTGTAGTTACACAGCTCGGTGCTGCACTTCTGTCAACATCTGTTTTCAATTAACCTTTAGGCTAATTGATTGTTGACTGTTATGGCAGAAAAAAAACCCCCAGCAAGATACAATTTCCACGACATTGACATTTGTGAATCGATTCAGAATCGTCCAAGTCTGCATCGCGATGCCTCTAAGAACAAATTATTTTACACACCCCTAGTAATGTGACAGTTAAATAAAAAGCTGCATGATATCTACACACACTACTGTCAGTTCATTGGAGGATCCTAATACAGGGTATATACAGGAATCCTGAAGTAAAATTCAAAAACTTTTCAAGATATTTAAGACTGCCGCGCCACTTTGAGCTAACCGATTAAATCAGCCGCACACCTTTTAAAAAGGGAAATTTGAGTTTTTAAAGGAATTTAAATATATAACATATTTATTGCCTACATGTCATCAGGTTGTAACGCCACCTAAAAATTGAGGCATTCACCAACTTTCTCAGTTGCCTATAACAGCCTGTACAGGCCAACTGTTTTCTGTGTGAAGGTCAGATTTCCTGCGAAAAGCAGCTGTCTTACATAAACTATGACGTTTCTGTACGCAACATTACAGCAAATCATGTGAACCACAGTGTCATTTTGTGTTTTAGTTGGTTTAAACTAGATAATGTGAGCTTGCCTGCAGTGATGTGTGTGAGAACTTTCATCGACCACTTGATCAATAGAACAAAATTCAAATAGGCCAGGAGGGAACGAAGAAGAAGAGAATAAACTGAGTACGTAGTGTAGGCGCTGCAGCACAGATACAACCTGGAGGAGGAACTAGTCTAAACGACTGGATTAGTATAACATTAAATTGATTATGTTGTTAATTTAATAGTAAACTGTAAGTTTGATATTAATATATTCATTATGCTACTATATTCAATATAATTTCCTATAATAGAATATAACTTACCACTAGTTTAATATTAATTAAAAAATTTTATTCATTAACTTTGTGCAAGAAAAATGCTCCAGGCTACATGATACTCTCCGACCTTGATTTTGATCAGGCTACTAACTCGTCAATAATCAGAACCGTTTATGCAGAACAATGAGTTCAACATTTCTAAAGTTTGTTGCAGCACATCAAACTTTTCCCTTTTCCCTGAATTCTCCCTGTTGTCTTCGGTCTTACAGATTTAGCTGCTGGCGGATTTGGACGATTAGCATTGCGAGTCCGGCGGGGTGGGAGATTACGGTCGGTTGTATTCTTAAATCATTTTCCGGTTCGCACACATCTATTATTTCGAGGTTTTAAGAGTGAAATAGGCGCTCGGCACAGTCGCTACTCACTGCCTGTCTGATATTTTTGGCTATGCATTATAAATAAATACGTTCACCTGCACTTTTAGCAAACAAACTTTTGAATAAACAGGATTTTCACATTGAAAAAAATATCTTCAAAATTTAATACCTTGTTAAAAGGCGATTAAGACTTTTTAATGGCCTTAATTTTTACAGAATTGATTTATTACCTTTTAAGACCCCACGGACACCCTGTAATAACTGTTACATCCTCTGTACGTGTTTAACGATGTAGAGATCGAAAGGTGGTTGTGGGAGATTTGTCTGAGACTCTCACCTGTACGCCTCGTCCAGCGACATGTCCATCCTCTTCATGATGTAGGCGATGGCGATGGTGGCTGAGCGGGAGATTCCAGCCAGACAGTGAACCAGGACCCGAGCGTTGGAGGCTTTAGCCTTCTCTGAAATGCACAAATGACAGACGGTCTCATTCAGTGAATATTTCTCTGATAAACGATCATAAAAGAAAGGTTAAGGAAGAGGCCGCCGACCTATGAACTCCACCGATCTGTCCAACCAGGGCAGGATCTTCTCACAGAAGGAGTCGTTAACAGGAACTCTCAGGAAGTGAGACTCTGGGATGAAGTCAGGTTTGGGGCAGGTGTTGCTGGCGTTCAGGACGTAGACGATGTCGTTCTGCTGCATCAGATCCTGGAGACGCAAAACAACAGAGGCGTCAGCTCAGCGTTCACACAGAGACCCAGGCTAGCATGATCCTGCTGATTCTCATTAACCCCGGATGAAGTTACCAGAATAAAAGTGTGCTCTTATTTTGAAATAAAGGCAAAATGAGTTGAAACTATGATCAGCACTTGATCTGTGTCGAGAGGCAACGTGTTCATGTTGAACCCAAAAATCTGCCAAAACAGCCACACCAACGCACCTGTGCAGCGCTCATGTGTGTTTTCAGTTAATTTTGAAACTACGGCGGCCCGCCACAGTCTCTGTAACGGACCCAGAAGTAAAGGGTTGATGCAGGAAAAGGAAAAAAACCTCCACTCTGATACCTTGTTGAGGACGTCCCTCTGGCAGCCCAGGTACAGGTGAGGCAGGATGCGGGTCGGCCCGATGTTGGTGACCGGCAGGCAGGGCTGAGAGATACAGGAGGGAACCAGAGTGGACTTCCCCTCGCACAGACCAGGAAACAGGTGGGAGAACTCTGAGAAACCACCTGAGAGGAACAGACACACAAATGTTAACGATCCTCTGCTGCAGGACGAAGTTCGGGTCAGTCTACAGTCGGCTCCTCTACACTTGTTGCCAGATAACACGCCTCTGAAATGATCCTCTGCAGGTCCAGCGTGAGCCTGATGAAGAGATATTCTTCTTCTCTTTTACAGCCTGTACTGCGACTCCAGCCCAGGATGTGATCCACCATATCTCATAAAGAGACAGAGAGGACGCTGCCTGCTGCCCAAACATTTCATTTCTAGGATTTTTATTTGAATTTGTAGAAGACAAATAATAATAATATATTACACCTGTTTGTTATTTAAATTTATTTATATTTATTTCCTTGTATTAGATGTTTTATTATCCTGATTAAAGCATATATTCTTTATGATAAAGTGCAGTATATTTGTACTTTTCTGATGAAGTTAGTAACCAACTTAATTAATGGAAGCCAGGACTGTAATATTATGTATTTAAAACAAATAATCTGTTTCCTTCACTGGTCTTTATGCCTCTTAGCAAAGTATTTTGTTTGTGCAATAATTTATTTTAAAATTTCAGATTTTTCTATGTTATATAAAAAAGGTGCATAAAAACTGGGTTATTTATCCAATAATCTGTAACCTCCCTCCATATCTGCTTTAAAGTATAGTAAATACGTCTTCTTGTCCGACTTCCTGTCTGTGGCTCTCAGCTCCAAGCCCATTAGTTCCTCCTGAAGACTAAACAAACAGGAGGAAATAGTGCACTTGTGTGTGTTTATAATGGTTACAGGTTTTACTGTTACAGCCTGACATTTCAGAGACAGAACTGATTATAATCCTCTTTTTGTCCTCTGAACTTCCCTCTAAAGCTTTTTGCTGAATCTCGGTTACCAGTCAGAGAAACAGGTTCCTCATTTACTCACAGCAGATAGAAGTTGTTGTGTAACTGTTAAACCTTTGACCGGGTGAATTTGGGAAGACCAGAAGTCTTTGTTTTTTTTGCTTTTAATATGTGAGGGTGGAGTCGTCAGTGCAGCATTACATCATGGTTACATTACATAACCCTCGGTTTTCCACTGAGGGAAGGGAGGACGTCTGCACTCGATCCGCCTGTCGTTCAAAATAATAAACAGCTTTATCACAAGTGACTGAGCTGAAACTGGGAGTTCATCCGTCAGGCTGGTTGAAGACTGAAGACACAACATGGATGCTGTTTGTGCTGGATGAGCTTCTACTTTTATAAAATATATAGTGCTGGGTAACGATTAAAATTTTTAATCAAGATTAATCGCATGATTTTCTGTGATTTAATGTAATCAAATCAAATATTAAACCAAAGCTATTAGCCACTGCCAGTGTCCAGAGCCACGATCATAAATTCATCACAGACATATATAAATCTGTTTTCTTGTTTTTGCAGAAACATTTTTCTTTTATCAGGGAGCAGCATAAACAGCTTTTGTTCAGTAGCAAGTGTCCCTGTTAGAGTGAGGGGAAGTGCTCGCCTCACGCATACACCAGCCGCCGAAGTTGAATTGTCCTGAACTTTTTGTATGCGACGCGCAGCACAAATCATTGGAGGAGAGACTGATCCTCGCTGTTGGTGACAGATTCTGGAAACTCACAGTTTACTAAATGGGACGTCAACAGGAGCGAATTCGCATGGCAGAGCCGCAAAACTAGATGAAGGTCTGTCAAGTTATGTAGCCTATAATTTTAACTCAAGTTAAATAGGCTAAAGCTGTGTAGTGCACAGAAGCTGTTGCCGTGGTTACTATCCATCTGCCGTTTACTCGCGGAGCGCTCATCTCCCTGTCTGATCGCCGGAGCAAAGAGCGGCCCCGCGGGGCCAAGCGACTGCATTGTGATTTTAAGAACGTTCCCCAATACTAATCAGCACGCAGCGTGTAGCCTTCAACTTCGCTGTGGCGTCTGATCGCTCGTCTTGCTTTTGTTTATCTAGGTTACTTTTCTCCCACTCGCTGCAGTCTGCCGAAGCCTCCCTCTGCTGCTTGTTTGGTGTATTCACAGCCAGGGAGCAACAGACCTCCAAAATAGTAATAAAAACTGCGTTAACGTGCAATAAAACAGTTGTCTGCATTTATCAATTAATGCCCAGCCCTAAAAATATATTATAAACATTATCATGGACTAAGTCTCGGTCTCTTGGCTCTTTTGACCGCGACTTGTCTTGGTCTCATGGATCTTTTTGATTCAGACTCATCTGGGACTGACCTGAGAGCAGGTGTACGGAGGGGAAGCTCCTCTCGAGTTTAACCAATAGGACGCTGAGGAACGACTCGGAACTGAGAGCAGTCGGGTCTGAAGAACTCTGATCGTATACGACGACCTCCTGATCACCCTGCAGCTCCAACTACAAAACATAAACCGAAGAGAGACTTTTAGACAATTTTATACAATTTACACTTTAATTACAATTACACAGGTTAATCAGACATATCTTCCAGCAGGGACGCTGCATCTACCTGTGAAGGTGACGTAAAAACCTTTGTTTTATCCCGACCACGAGTCACGATGCTCCTATTACTCCTAACGCTCACATTCCTACCTCAGTGATAATAAAGTTTCTGTGTCTCTCAGAACAGATGTCACAACACTGACATTTTACATATGCTACCAAGTCATGACATTTGATATGGTATGGTGTGAAGGTAGAGTCAGTTGGTAAGTCGTACGAGGGTAGAGTCGGTACAATGGTGGAGCCAGTCGACAGTCTGCCTCCCAGATCAAACATAGACTAAACCACATCGGTTTGCCTGCATTACAACTTGTACTCACTCGAGGAAACTGCTTTCTCTGCACACAAAATTAAATTACAGCTCATAATCGTGCTCAGAATTAAAAATGAGCAGCCGAGCTTCCTTAAAGCTGTTATTCCAGTTTAACACAACGCCACAAAAAGGGAGGAGCAGCCTCTGCAGCTTGCAAACTCTCTTTGTTAAATATAAATATACTGTTCTGAGGTCAGACGCCCACATTCAGAATTAAAGCAAAGCGAGCAGCGTCAGGTTGGACCAGGTTTTAAGGCATAGAGGTCTAAGTGTTTGACATTTTCCACATTCTTGACTGCACAGTATTACAGAGTATACAAACCATCTCCACATTGCTCTTATCGTTTCGGTATCTCAACTATGTTGTGCTGCATCCTCCTTTTATGTTTCATGTTTGTGCTCTTCTACCACATATTTCATCTTTCATGGGTTCCCTCTTCATTTTTTACTTCTTACCTCTTGACAAAACTACATCACAAGTCAAACCCCTTTATCTCAGAGTCAAACCACAACACACCGAGTCAAAACACACACACAGCTGAAGTAAATGCAGTTTGCTTCAAGGATAAATGTCCATAACTTCACTTGGAAATCACATCAATCATCGTCACATACTGCCTCACAACTACTTTTACTGATTACATCATTCACAAACACTTTCGATAATCTAAGGATGTCCTCTTCATTTTAGTAAAGTGAACAATAATGACGTTTAGTGTTATACGGTTTTAGTCACGGGTGCTTTGATGGTTCGACGTGGGAAATACCTAAAATCTTATGTGTCAGTATAGACACCAGACTGGCACCAGGAAAACCTTAAAAAATAAGACAAACTTAACAAGAGTCAGATTTTAGTTACTGCAACTAACAACAAATCTCACTCCTCAAGTTCTTAGAGCTTTTGAATTAATCTCAGTCTTTGGGGTCGGTGAGTTAGCTGTGTGCTACATCCAGTGTTCAATTTAACAGGAATTTTAAATAAAGTTTTAGTCTTTTTAGTCACATTTTTTTGAGTCGGAAATTGTAGTAGGTTTAAAGTCACGTTTTAGTCTTTGTTTTGTTTTAGTCTAGATTTCGTCAGTGGTCCTACGTTTTAGTTGTAGTCAAATTTTAGTCAATGTTTTAGTCATAATTATCATACGATACAGGAGCTGAATGACATGCTGGCTGTAAAATCTCCTTTTAGAAAATGTTTGTGGCTGTACCATCTATATTTGTTTACATTTCCTCAAACTGTCCCCATTAAAAGTTGCTGAATTAGCTGTTAGCTCCTGTTAGCAGTTAGCATGAATGTACAGCCATCACTGGATTACTGTGATTTTAGATCCACTGAATCTAAAACTATGTGTTCAGGTTTGTGACAAACTGCAGCAGTCTAAGTGTACTAAAGTTTCTTAAAGATCTGCGAGTCAGTGCTGGAGCGCCACCTGCTGGCCGTGTTGGTGAGCGAGCTCTGTGGTGCGTTTACCTTCTTCTTGGCAGAGTGCTGCAGCAGCTCTGTGATCTGGACTTTGTCCTGCTGCAGCCTCCTCTTCATCAGCTTGGAGCAGTTCACGTTCACCGCCTCCAGGATGTGGGAGGCGTTGTAGTCCACGAAGGGCCGGCTGTCAATCAGCACCACCCGGTCCAGCCCGCCCTCCAGCAGGGCCACCAGAGCCTCTGCCTCGATGGGCCGCACCGCCCCGAGCCTCAGCATCCCAGACTTGGACCATGATTCTGGTCCAACAAGACGCTCCGACATCTCAAAATACTTTCCCTCCCTTTACCCCCCACCCCCCACCCCCCCTGCTCGTAGTCCTCCTCCCCCTCCTCCTCCTCCTCCTCGTCGTCCTCCTCCTGAGCGTCCGGGGCCGGCGGTCCAGCGCAGTGACGCAGCCTGGCGAGGAACCTCAGAGGATGAAGAGCTCCATTGTGTCAGTCGGGTATGATGTCATCCTGATGGCGCTTGGCAGCCCGAAAAAACCCCGGGGCGAGAGACACAGAGAAAGACAGAGAGAGAGAGAGAGAGCGAGCGCTTTCTGCACTGGAAGCCAAACCCCCACTAACTCTCTCTGCTGTGTTCGTCAGACTGTGTGTGTGTGTGGCTGGTAGTTAATGTGTGTTTCCATGTGTGTTGAGTCTTTTGGTGGCGTGCAGGCCGGGGGGGTGGGGTGGTGGTGGTGGTTGAGGCAGGGACTCTCATTCACACCACAGCAGGCGTGAAACAAAAGGCGTCTTTTCTCCTGGACTGAGCGCTGACGACGTCACTCTGCACCTTGATCCCCGTCTTCATGCTGAAGTGGTTTCAGACTTTAAGACAAAAAAAAAAAAAGAAAGATGAGAGTTTATTAGATTTGGCTTCTGGTTTATCACAAACCGCCTTTCCTGCGATGCTGCCTTACATAAAGCTGCATTTTTCTATTTTTCGATGCAACACAAGCGCCACTTGTGAACAGGTAAAGAGCGGCTTACTCATCTCTGTCTGGCCTGTTCCTTCTGCTTGTGAGAGACTTTAAAGTGCAGAGTTTGGTCTAGTTTCAAAGCGTGGGTTTGGTGTGAACATAATCTGCATCCTCCGCTGCCAGCTGCCGTCTTTGCAATGCTCAAAAAACCCTCATCAGGACATTGTTAACCCTTTCAGCATGATTTACAGCTACACTTGCGTCTCACAGGGGTGGAAGTACAATTTATAAAAATTATTATTATTCTGAAATGGGCCATTCTGCATAATTAGTACTTTTATTTTTGGTATTTTAAGTTGCATTTTTGCTGCTAATTACTTATTTTGAATGCCCGACTTTTACTTATAACAGTATTTCCACACTGTAATATTTCTAGTGGTACTGAAGTGAAAGATCTTCCAACTCTGGTCGTAACATCAGTTTTTCCATTTTATTTTTGTCTGACTTCTCTCTTCAGCTTTAGTTTTTAAATGTTGGACATTTTTTATGTAAGCTGGAACTGAACACACTCTGACAAGCAGACATTTCTTTGTTTTTATGGGTTACGAGCCAAAAGGTTAAGTCAGTGTGCCCCATTCATCTTGTTCATATCAGACCTCTACGAGAGGTCACGAGGCAATCACGAGTAGTGCATTGTTGTTTTTTGGCTTTCCCCAACCCCCTTGTAGTTTTACTTCTTCAGGATTCATCATCTGGGAGCAGGAAGGCAACAGATACTTCGGTACCATGTCAATACCAAAATTGTGAAAACATTTCGTTTTGCTCGGTACCAGAGATCCAAGATGGATCCATGGAAGATAGAGACAAGTGCAGCTGCAGCGACTCATCAAATAGAAGAGAGATGGAAATAAGGTGAAGTTAGTTTCACAGCCGTTTCCTTCAACAGCTCTGTGACAAAGCTTCAGTTTCTCCCAGTTCTGGATCTGTTGGAGAGCTAATTTAGGCAGATGTTTCACGGTTTGATCACCTGAAAATCACCAAAGGTGACGATGCAGTTTGCTTTCAGACCAAAAGAGAAGCGAGCGTTCGGGGCGGTGAGTTTACACACAAAGTCAACGCAAAGACGCGTAGAGCCGCGGTTTCCTGTCAGGCGGTGCAAAGGGGGCGGTGCCGGCGATGCGAAGGAATTCGCGTGAGTTGAATATTTTCAACTCAAGAGGGAAATTCGCATGACGCTGTGTTGCGATAGCCTATCAACGTTGAGATTGTCCGGACATCACCGACAGCTTCAGAGCGCTGTGTGGAGAGCGCCAGGCAGACCGGGTGATTGAAAATCTACTGGCTGGCTGAGAGCTGCTAAACTTGGGCGCGAGAAGCAGGAAGCAGCGCTCCAGCTTTCAGACAAATAAACACCCGTGGTCGGACTGGACTTTGCTCGCAACTACGCCATTTTCCTCAAGGGAGGAGCTCGGAATAAACTGCTTTTATTAAATTAGCTTTTTACTTCGGTTTTTAGGATTACAACGTTGATTTATTTTCACTCGAGCGTCTCAGCAGCTAGATTCTGTGCACATCCGGTTCCAGTGTTAGCGTCATTTGGCACGACTTCATGTTTATATAAAAACTGGGCAAAACTGGACCTTGCTGGGAGAAAAGAAAGCGAGGAGGTTGAACTACCTGGTGAGTTCAGAAAACAGGTGTAACTTTATTCCAGCTGTCGTTGTACTTTACTGGGACCAAGTTAGCACAGAATAGCCCTGATCGATCCGAACTCCATTCAGAAAACAAACATTTTAGAAGTTGTTGTCCTGCTGACAGACCTGACAAAGCATCAATTCATATGTTTAACAAATCTGCATCATGTTGTAGTTTTTTTGGCATCAGTTTAATCCGTTTTAAATGACAGCAAAATGTTGACTTTGGGTTCATACAGCTGTAGTAATGGCAAGTTGTGTTTATTCGCCTTCTCAAGTTGTACAGCTAATGTACTCACACGAGGAAAGCGTCGCGAGGAGAAAATTTGCGTTCGGTCTGAATGCGGCTTAAGAACTGAACGTCTGTCCAACGCTGCTGTTACTGTAGGAGGAGTTAGGGACCGTCTGAAAAGGGCAACACGATCCATTTCAATCATCAATAACTGTCTCAGACAGCTGCCAATATAGATAGTGACCACCCTTAAACATTTCACACCTGAAAGTTTAGAAAGTAATTAATTAAATAATTAAATATATGCAGGTTTTAATTTCAACCGTTTGCTCATTCCTGAATATATTGACATCAAACCACCTCTCAACTGTCCTGGACGTCCTCTCACAGCTGTTAGTTCTACTAAGTTTATCTTGAAGTACGTGGGATTTATTGTTTTGTTTGTTTTTTCCCGTGGTATCGCATTGGTATCGAGTATCGTGAAATTTTACTGGTATCGGTATCGACTACTACATTTCTGACATCATGACATCCCTAGAAGGGTAAAAGCCAAACTTCATGGCAGCGGTTTTTAAAGGTTTCTCATTCTGGATCTAAGTGTTGGACAGACTGATGAACAGAGAAAAGAGCGCCGCCTACAGGAACTTAAAGCCCAAAGGTTTTCACGTTATTGGAGGGTGTTCGATAATCAGGTGAGATACTAGACCGGAGAAACTCCCAGACGAAGCAGTTTGAAGTTAATGTGAAACAGCATCTAATAATAAACCGCTCCAAACCTGTCTGCTTGGTTGAAGATCAGCTTCTTCTTAACTTCCTGTTAACCGTTCTCTCTGCAGACTGACTCACAGCGGTGCAGCAGGAAATCCCCTTGTGATGTAAAACCAGCATTTACAGAGTCGACACACACACACACACAAAAAAATCCCCGAACACGTGCCCACGCACCATCTCACGGCGTGAGCCCAGAAAGTTCACCACCACATCCAAACTAAACGGTTTGAGTCCTGCTGCACTCGCTGCCGTTTGTCTGAACCCAAACATTGAAGCAGGACTGATTCAATATCTGATTCGGGATCTGGGAGGAGGTCAAACTGGGTTTTTAGTCCTTCTTGAGGGGGTCACGGATACCAATGGCTTAGGTGACGTCGTACATTGAGAGACACTGGAGAAACTGGCCAGAGCAGCATTTGTTGTAGTGGTCGAAACCATACGCGTTTCAGAAACATACATTGGGTTCTGCTTTAGATTTCCGAACGTGGCTGGTGTTTAAAGCAGAGCGGGGTACAGCCTGTCAGACATCACTCAGCTGCATAATTCTCCACAGTATTTACTATTTTATTATGGCCAGTAATGCAGTTAGATTAGAGCTGCTGATACAGTGGATAAGACACATGCCCTTGGTGTGAGCGACCCGGGCGATATAATTTTCCTCAACGATATAATAAATGTTCAATCAATGTTTGATTTAATTCATTTGAATCACAAACAAATGAGCACATACATTTTCTATTAAGATATTTATTTTGGAAAAAAGGACTGAAAAAATGTATTTGTTTATTTTTTTTTTTAATCATAATAGTTTTGAATGTTCTGCCTCAGATTTGTGAAGTGATTCACTGTTTGGTATCAAGTGTTTGTTTCTGACCAGAAAGAAAAGTTTAAAACCCCAATTAACCATCTGGTTTATTCAACTTTCACATATGAGCAAATATTTTGTCTCTAAACTTTTGAGTTTCAGGATGCAAATTCAGTCAATTTGAGTTTTTATATGCCTTTTATAAAGAAATGTTTTTTATATGTTGCTTTATAGATCTGTATTAATTTTTTTTCATTTACAGGCTGAAAAACTGTTTTCTAACAGTTTGGACTGTGGACAGTGACCTTTTCACAATCATTTTGTGTTCATAGATATTGTGATATCATTATTGATTTGTCTAGAAATATACTGATTATCGCAGTAATATTATTGGTATTGTGAGGCATGTATCGTATCAAAACCTTCCCAATAGATGATAATCTGACAGACACAAAGAGTCTGAACGTGACATTACAAACAGGAAGATGGTAGAATAAAAAAATAAACAGTGTGTGTGTTGTAAAGCAGAACCAGTTTTCCAGAGGAGCAGCTGTTTCTAGCGCCGTGTTACACTTCACACTGTAAATCAGAATAAACGGGATTCAATTATGTTATTTCAAGCCGGGACATTCCTCTGCAGACATCTGATCTCCGTCAAATTACCGGCTACAAAACCCTCTGAACAGATGGCATCAGAGTCACGTAACTTCAGCCTTATCTCCTCTCATCTCGCCAGACGTGCACATACGGTGGTGATGTTTCAAGTCAGGCAGGGTGAGGACTCCCGTCAACATACCGAGCGGAGAAAAACATGCATCCAGATCCTGAAACTCATCAGGATCCTGCAATATCTCCGACAGACGCAGACTAAAGCCAGAAAGGGTATTTATGTTTACGTTAGGGGTTGTTCCCAGAAGAGCACACTTTGTTTTCTGCCCGCTTAAAGACAGCAGAGTGTTTAACAATGGCCCCAGATTTCAGATTACAAATGTTTTGTGTCTGAGAAGCAACTTGTTCTTGGAGTTGTTTTTGTTTGTCTTTTATTCACACAGCTTTGGGCTTCTGTAGTTCTGTGTGTGCATAATAATAAATATATTGTTTAAAAAGAAACTGAAACAAAAATAAGAGACCTGTCAACTATTAAATTAAATAGCAACTATTTTGATAATTGATTAATCATTCTGAGTCACTTTTTAAGAAAGAAATGTTAAAATTCTCTGATCTTAAATGTGAATATTTTATATTTCTTTTCTACTTGATGACAGTAAACTGAATCTTTTTTGGTTGTGAACGTTTGAGGATGCCCTCTTGAGCTTTGGGAAGCACTCACATTTTTCACCGTTTTCTTGCAATTTATAAACCAATAAACAAATTGATAAATCTAAAAAATAATAATAATATTGACAGATTAAATCGACAATTAAAA